ACGCGTGTCAGAGGTGACACGCGAACTCATTTTTTTGGTTGATTTTTCTTTGTTAAGTGGCATTTAAATATATAAAATAAATATCAAAAATATAAGTCTTTGTTTTATTATGGTTGCAAATACCAAAAAATTTCTATATGTGACACGGCACCAGAGTTAAGTTAGGGTTTTTCAAAATGCTGACACGCCGAGCTCAGAAGGTTCGCCACCACTGCCCTAGTCCCTACCTCACAGCCTGCACACCCACCACCTCTCACCATGGTTTTTCTGATATATTTCAGCTCTCCTTTCACACCTGTGCACAGGTCCTGGCACAGCACGAGCAGAGTAAACTCAGGCCACGGAGAGCAAGGCAAGCACGGCACTGTCTACTCAACATTACCTTCACAAACGCCGGCTCCTACAGCACCTGCTCTGAGTCTCCCAAAAACAAAACCTGGGAAGCCCACACGTAGACGTTCTTGGCAGCCTGTCCCTGAGCAGCAGCTGTTCCTCCTTTTCTTCCCAAGGGCGAAACCTCGTAAACCTGCCGTGGAGACGTAGCTCCACCGTCCCAGGTCCTCCCAGCTCTCCCCGCCGGCACCCTGCAAGCCCTTGGTTTAAATCACCCAGTGACCACAGCTGGGATCAAAATGTGAAAAAACCCTATACAATAAAGAGTGATATGCAAATTAACCCTCACGCCCTCACAAGATGGCTGCCTATGACCAGGCTGGCAGGGGGCGGTTAGTGAGGGACGACCAAACGACTGAACAGCAGGCTGTGTGGGGTGACCAGGCCAGCAGGGGGGGCGAGCCGTGAGGGGCAACCAGGCTGGCAGGGGGAGCAGTTAGGGGCGACTAGCGGGGGGGGGGGGGGGGGGGGCAATTGGTGGCAACCAGGCTGGGGGGGGGGCAGTTAGGGGCAACCTGGCCAGCACCACAGGCAGTGAGGGGCCATCAGGCAGGCAGGTGGGCGATTAGGAGCCAGTGGTCCAGGATTGTGAGAGGGATGTCCGGGGATCGGGCCTAAACCGGCAGTTGGACATCCCCCAAGAGTCTGTCCTGGATTAGAGAGGGTGCAGGCTGGGCTGAGGGGAGCCCCCTCCCCCGTGCACGAATTTCATGCACCGGGCCTCTAGTAAGTAAAATAAAATATGTATGTAATTTCCTGCTAAATTCTTAAGAGTCCTTTGATTTTCAGTAAACAAGAGAAAACACCCTGGGTGGGAGGTATTCCTTCACTGACATTTTCTGATTAAAACCACCACCACCACCGCAACACAACCAGGCCCTCGAGAATGTCAATCAAAAGTGCCCGGAGGGCCCGCCGGCAGCTCGGCTGGTTAGACTCCAGAGGTTTCCTTAAACCAGCGGTCGCCAACCTCTCGGACCTCACGGACCACGGGGGGCGACCCCGGGTCAGAGTGTCGTCGGAAACGCCCAGGTCGGGTTCGAGCCCCGTCGGGGCACCTTCAGGAATCAACCAAAGCGTCAGCGCGACCACAGGGAAACCAGTTTCACACGCACGGACCGCCTCTGACAGGCCCGAAGCCGCCCTCCCGGGGCAGGCACCCCCAGGAGCGCGGGAGCCCCGTCCCCACCGCGGTCTCCAGCCGCCCCGACAGCCGCCTTCATCTCAAACTGTCCCCCGGGGAGGACCTGCGATCTTGCTCCAAAGCATGTGAAGTGAGTTTGGATCAAACACACGTATAAAAATGCAAAAGGAAAAAAAGTGTGACTAGGACGCGTTTTTTAAGTAACGTTCGGCTTATTTGCTAAAGATCTTTAACGAGGGGGCGGGGGCCGAGTTTCGAGGCGACGCCAAAACCTGCAGCGGGACAACCCGACGACGGTCCCACCCGGCGGGAGCCGGGACGGAGGAGACGTGGCCCGAGGGGGGGACGCGCGGCTCAGGGGGCTCCGGCCTCGGCTCGCGCGGGCCGCCCCGGCGGGGACACGGGACGGGGAGCGCGGCCTGGACGGGCGGCCGGACAGGGGGCAGCCGCCACCCCGAGAATCGCGAAAGGCCCGGAGGAGCGGGACCCGCCCCGGCCTCGGCCCGCACCCCGGCTCCGAATGGGGACGGCGGCGGGAGGGCGGGGCGCGGGGCCCGGCCCAACCCGGGGAGGCCCGGCGTGTGGGGGCGCCCGGGGGGCAGAGGCCCGGCCTAGAAGGGGCGTCTGGGGGGCAGAGGCCCCGGCGGCGAGGGCTCCGGGGGGCGGAGGCCCGCCGTGCTGGGGGCTGCAGGGAGGGGCCCGGCCGGGGAGGGGCGCGCTCACCGTGGTCCTGGTTGAAGCCGGCGTAGAGCAGCCCGTTGCCGTGGGGGTTACACGGCAGGAGGTTCATGGCGCCGCCGCGGAGGGTCCGCGCTCGTCAGCGCCGCATTCCGCTCGAGGAGGCCGGGCGCAGGATCCTGTCAGGCCGCCACCGAGGCCGCCGCGGCTGGAAGCGAACCGCGGACGTACTGCGTGCGTGCGTGCGTGCGTGCGTGCGTGCGTGCGTGCGTGCGCGCGCCCAGCCAGTGAGCTGAGGAGCGCCGATCACATCCACCCAGGCAGGCGGGGTTGGGAGCGCCGAGAGCGTCACGTGAGCGGGGCGGGGCCACGTCCAGGGGGCGGGGGCAGGTCTATGGGCGGGGTCTGGACGGAGAGGAGGCGTGGCCTGGCCTGACAGGTGGAGGACCTCCGGTCTGCCAGGTGAGCGGAGACCCCGAGGGCAGCTGACCCCCAGAGGGGAGGGGAGAGAAGGGGGGTTCCAAGCGGCAGCCGTGCCCCTCGCCCTCCTGAGCAGGCAAGGCCCAGATCCCACCCCCCGAAATCACACCCCCACTGGGACGCCCTCGTCCTCACCTGACCCCCTTCCCTAGGAGCAGGGAGGCCCATTCCCACCTCTGGGGGGCACTCTCGGTTTGAGCCGGGATGTGGGTACAGGCATTACATGTTTCCATATTCAAGCCCCAATTTATTTTTGTGAGAAAAAACACCATCCACAGTTGCAGGCCACAGAAAGAAACGGCACACGGCATCCCGTCGGACACTCCTGGGGCGTCCGTGTCTGTGACGGGGCTCTTCAAGGGTTAAAAGGAAGACAGGATGAAAGACCCACTGTGTGCGAGGCCAGGGCAGGGGAGTCGGCGTGGAGCAGCCAGCACCCTCCACCCACACAGCAAACGCCCTCCAGGTGCTGCCCAGCACCCTCCTCGGAGATGCCACCCCACCGGTGTGTGGAGATGGGGTCCCCTCACTGCAGTGAGTCCCCGTTCCTGGTGGTCCTGGCTGGGCCCCTGAGCCAGGAGAGCTGAGGCTGGAGCAACAGCAGCTGCTTTGGGGCAGGTGGGCTTTGGAGCCTTCCTTTCCGCCTCAGTCTCCCTACCCACCGAGACCCCGAGGCCTCCATGCCCGGGGTCATCACCGTGAAAGTAGAGAAGAAGCGGCAGCCTGCTCTTGAGTTCCACACTGAGGCAGGGGAGGGGCAGCAGTATCAAAAGCCAAAACTGTGACCAGCGTTTTAGAGAAGCGAAGTGATGAGAATCCAAAGCTCTAAAGAAAGAAGGCACGGCCGGCTGGCATGGCTCAGTGGTTGAGCGTTGACCTGTGAGCTGGGAGGCCACGGTTCCATTCCGGGTCAGGGCACACGCCCTGGTTGCGGGCTCCAACCCCAGTGTGGGGCGTGCAGGAGGCAGCCGATCCATGAGTCTCATCATGGATGTTTCTATCTCTCTCTCCCTTCCTCTCGGAAATCAATAAAAATGTATTTAAAAAGCTCAGCATCCTGAGGACACCCCAGTGGAGGCTGGGCCGGGGGAAGGGAAGTGCCAAGAGCATGCACATTGGGAAGAGTGACCCAGGGACCCCCGCCCCCTTGCCTGGAAGGGGCTGAGGCCCCTCTGCCCGGCCCCCACACGCAGCTTCCGTTTCTCCTCACATTCACTTTGACGACGCCGCCCTCCAGCAAATGGAAGCATCTCTACCTCCGTCTTTTTGGCAAAACATCACCGAGCCTGTGACGGACTCCCCCACAGATTCAGTGTTTGCCCGGAAGACGCCTCGGTGCTGTGAGCTCCTGGTCTAGGAGATGGCTCCGCATGGCAGGTGTTTTCACGGGCAGTGAGGACATCGGTGTATGCCCTCGTTTTGAATCTCCAGGCTTGAGAAGAGAATCACACACACCTGGGACGTGACTCGGCGCACGTTTACGGTCTGGGTGGGTTTCGCCGGCAGCAAGGGCCGTGGGAGAGAAAGACAAATGACAAGGTTGGGGCACAGTTTGCTTCAAGGTTCAGTTTACATCTCAATTACATTTTCTGCATATTCGCCGAAACGCACACACTTCCCCGTAGTTCATCCTGTGTCGGGCTCCTGCTGTTTCACCCAGGTGCCTCTTGGGCTGCGAGGCACTTCCTCCTGGGACGTCACCTATTTCCGTGCGATGTGAGTGTCCTGGGGCTGCCGTAAGGAATTGCCACACAGAACTCTGTCCTCTCACAACTCAGGAGGCCAGTGTCTGAAATCCAGGCATGGGAGTGGGGGTGAGGGTCGGGGGTGAGGGGGGCTCCTGCCTCTTTCATCTCCTGGCGGCCACCTGGAGCCTGGTCTGCAGAGGGCTGAGGCCTTGGAAGCGTGTGCTCCGAGAGAGCTCCTGTCCCAGAGGCCACAGGAACTTGTCATAGTCCTTCTAGGACACACGTGTCATCCTGAGGCGTCCTTCGATCGGAAAAGAATAAGGAAGTGGAAGGGGAAGAAGACTTGTCCCCGTTTAACCTCAGGGCCAGGGGACCCATTCCTGGAGCCGACACCATCCGTGGGCCCCACACCTTCGCTCCCCTGTGGGGTCTTGAGAAGTGCGTTCTTCAAAGGGGAGAAGAGGTGCTGAGGTGTTTTCATTCCGCTTGGACCCCTCCTGGCCTCTCCTAGCTGCAAACGAAGGGAGGAGTGGCCCCACCTCAGCCACCCAGCTTCCCGGCCAGCGTGGCAGCCCTTCCCTCTCTCCATCCAATGCCCAGCAGGCCAGCGGCTCCCTCTGGGTTGACCTGCTGCTGTCCACTTGCCTGCTCCCCTGTAGACACTCTCCTCATCACGGCTGGCTTCCGACCTTCCGTGCCCATCTCGTTTCTCCTCTCTGGGCCTGTTTCACCATCTCTGAGTAAAGGTTGCCCCCAGTTCTAGGGCTCCTTGAATTTCTAAAACTCTACCAACCATTTATAGAAACGGAGGACATCTCAACTCGTGTTATTTTTTTAATCCTTCCTTCTAACCTCTGGCTGCTGCAGGGCGACAGCTCACAGGTCCTGCCAGGAACGAGAGGCCCTTTGCAAAGTCAGCCGTGCTCTTGTGTCACCGTGATCGGAAGGGCACCTCCCGGGTCTTACCAGACGGCACCCTTCGTCCCACGAGGCCCTTGAAGAATATGGCTGGAGCCGCCCGATCACAGGCCGTGTCCAAGGGGCCCGGGGAGGTAAGCGGTGTCATTGGAGGGCTGCACATTCAGAGGGCCCCCTGTGGTTACGCATGGATTTCACCTGCGTGGGAGTCGGCGCCCCAACCCCACATTGTTCAAGGCCAACTGTGCTCCCCTCTTTCTGGCCCTACATTTCTTTCCAGGAAAAGGAATCTTTTTCAGTAGACGTCGCAGTTCAGGAGTGGAGCCCTGTTGCCAACGCCGCATACCTGCACGGCACCTGAACCAGGTGGTGAAGCGAGGAAGTAAAGGGCTGTAAATACACAGTCAGACCCGGCGACGAGAGAGCAGGCAAACCGGCTAGCCTGCTACTGCGTCCTCCCGCGCCCGTGCCCCCCCTTTCCCGCCCGAGACGCTCTCCGATGGGCGCCTTGCCCACCCAACTCTGCTGTAGCTGCTCTGGGTTCGACACAACCAGAGGTATCTTTGGCATTTTCTTTTCTCTGCTTCATAACCTGTGGAACATTTTATACAAAAAAAAAAGTAGATTGACAGAAAAAAATGTGCATATAAATCACTTATTAATCCCAAAACGTAGTAAATAACATAGCAAAAACTTTATCAAACCCATTTTGTACAGAAGCGGGACGGATCAGCTTTCCATAATCCCACATGCGTCCGCAGCGTTTATAAATTAGTTAAGAAGGAGGTTTACAAAAAGGCCTTCCTCCTCGCGTCCACTCTACGTTCCCTGGCATCGCTGCCGGGGTCCCCTGGACTGACACGCAGACACGCACATCACCATTCTCACCAAAGCAGCTGTGCTAAGGGAAACATCTGCACCGCAACTGCGGCATCAATAACATTCCACTGCATGGTAGTAAGAGGCAAGCAGAGCACCAATCTCCCCTTTATGAACACACGTCTAACACAAGAGCTTCATGCACATCCACGTGGAAACATCAACGCCAAACCGTGGCGTGGGTCCTCGTTGCTCGGAGCGCGGTCGCCATGAGGGCTGGCCAGTGCTTCTCGGCCCTGGCGTGGCCTCCCGGCTCCCGGGACGGCGGAGTCCCCCGGAGTCTGCGGTGTGCGCCCGCTCCCGCCTCCTAGGAGACTTTGCAGCTGCTCCTGGCGCAGCGCTGGGGGGGGCTCTGGGGCGGCCGGGCTGCCTTGCCTTTGCGCAGGCTGCTCCTCTTGGCCGAGCTGGCGGTGACGGTGACGGAGTAGGAGCGACCGTGCATCATCCTGGCGTTCAGGCCGTTGGCCATGGAGAAGGACTTGAGGCGGCTTCGCAAGGCCAGGGGGAGCGGGAGCTTGTCCACCAGGTGCACGGGGGTGCAGGACACCACCGCCCGGCAGCACAGGTCCTGCAGGCTCAGCACTGGGGAAGGAAGAGAAGCCACGCTCAGGCGGTCCCTGCTGCCGGCCGCAGGGCAGCCCGGCCCACCGACCCACCACATTTCCCAGGACCTGGGGCGGACGGGCCAGGAAAACCAGGGCTGACGCTCCCCGTGTGCCCATGTGCCACCTCTGGCAGGACTCGGAGAGAGCCATCTGCTTTCGTCACCTAAACTCAGTTTGTCCCCCGAAACCCGAGAGGCCACCATCTCTCCCTCAGGTCTGAGAGGTGATGGGGAGGGATGATGTCCCAGGAGGTCTCCTCAGGAATTTTAATATACATCCCACTGCCAGTTACATTCTATTAAAAAGACCCTTGCCCAGCTGGTGTGGCTCAGTGGTTGAGCATCAACCTGTGAACCAGGAGGTCATGGTTTGATTCCTGGTCAGGGCACATACCCATGTTGTGGGCTCGATCCCCAGTGTGGGGTGTGCAGGAGGCAGCCCATCAATGATTCTCTCTCATCACTGATGTTTCTATCCCTCTCTCCCTCTCCCTTCCTGTCTGAAATCAATAAAAATATATATTTAAAAAAAACAACCCTACGCACTTCTATTTCTCAAGTTCCTCTCTTTATAAACAAAGGGGAAAGGGAATTATTCCCCATGTGATAAGCTCTTCCCAAAGCCATCTGCAGGAAGGTCGAAGGTCACGTGGAAGCCACAGTGCTGCCCTAGGGGGTCCCTCTTCACAGACTGGGGGTCCTGCTCAGGCACAACCCCCTCTCAGCGTGGACGCCTGCGGCCACCTTACAATAAATGCGTCCGCCTCTGCCTACATACAGATTTCCGCAGCCTCCCGTGTGGCCAGATAGAGCTGTACCCATGACTTCCCTCTAAGTCAGCACAGTTATGCCCTGGGAATGGGAAGGGCGGCCCGAGGCGGCCCTGGGAGGGTGAGCAGCGCCCGGGCTGGGGACAGCTCAGCCTACCCTTGCTCGGCCGCCAGAGCCGGTCCATCCCGTGCCGCAGCAGCACGACCCTGGCCAGCTCCGTGAAGGACTCGGTGATGTTGAAATTGCACAGAGGGCTGACCTCGAAGAAGGTGACACCCAGGCGCTCTGCGTAGGCCTGGGCCTGCTCCGTGGGCACCTGCCGCTTGAAGGCCAGGTGCAGGCGGTTTCCCACCAGGATCTTCGGGACCCCGGGAGCGTGCTAGAGGGCGAAAGGAAGGCAAGGGAAGTGGGTACTTGTGCGAGCTTCTGCTGTTGGCACTGTAGGGGTACTGGGTAGTAGATGGCGTGCCCCCCAGTTTAGACGGCCCAGAACTTCAGAGCGTGTGAAGATGTAATTAGCAGGGATGAGGTCATTGGGGTGAGCCCTGAACCCAATCACCGGTGTCCTTGTGAGAGGAGAGGACACGGGGAAGAAGGCCGGTGGCCACAGAGTGGAGACAGGGGTGCCTCTCCAGGCCCAGGAGCGCCGGGGCTGCCGGCAGCCACAGAAGCGGGAGGAGACAGACAGGAGCCTCCTCTGGGGCTTTCGGAGGGAGCGCGGCCCTGCCCACCCTTCCTCTTGGACTTCTGGCTTCCAATGTGAGGAAACAAATGTGCAGCTTTAAGCCGCCTGGTTTACGGTTTGTTAGAGCAGCAGCGGGAAGCTAAGACAGTGGGTGTGGCCCCCGCCACTCCATGTCCCCAGGGGCAGTGGGCTGGTCCGGGTGCCAGCAGGCAGCAGCCCGTCACTGCCCGTGAACCCACCAGACCACGTGCAGGGCCGGACTCCTGAGCTTGCCGGTTCTTGCATCAGGGCGGCTCCCATGCTGGGAGGTGACACATCCTCCCAGGGCTGAAGCCTGGTGCCCTGGCCCACACGCCCCGTCCCCAGCCCGACACCCTCGCGCCCACAGGGAGGGAGCGCTGTGCTCCGAGGCACACCTCATCGATCTCCTTAATCCAGCGGTGGATGCCGTCGAAGGACCAGCGGTTTGCGATGTCGTAGACCAGGATCACCCCCTGGGGAGAGGCGCCGGCTGACCTCACCGCAGGCACAGCTCCGGGCTGCGCAGCCGCGTGAGGGCCACACAGTAACAGACTCACAACAGCCACTACCATCACGCTTGTTCTGACACAGGCTTGTCTGGATTTATCCACCAGATGCAGCAGTTATGTGGTTATCTCCACTATTTCACAAGCTCATTGCTGAGCCCTCAGACATCAAGGTGGGCTGGGGACTAGAACGCAATTCCCCACGTCCATAAGCTGCTCCAGGGACACAGGCATGGGGAGCACGGGCCTCACCAGCTCAGGAGGACAGACACACACAGGACCATTAACACAGGTACACACACATGCATATGCACAGCCATGCACACACAGGGACATTTACACCAACACAGGTATGTACATGTACAAGCATGCATGTGCACACACACAGCTCTCCTGCATGCAGTGTGTGTACAAGCACACATATGTACAACAACACACATGCATGCAAACGCAGGTATGAAACATGAATACGCCTGTGCATGTATAGACAGCCTCGCACATGTGCATGAACACACACATGCATAGAACAATGCACACATGCACGTGCACACGTACAGCCCTGGCGCCAACAAAGGCTTGTGAGCCACCAAACCCTCCATAGACTCAGGCCTCAGTTTACACAGAGAGCTCAACATGAAAGAGCATCCCACATGTCAGCGCGACCTCCCGCTCGGGGGTTACCTGTGCGCCCCGCGAGTAGGAGCGGAAGATGGTACAGAATCTCCCCTGCCCGGACGTGTCCCTGGAAGGAAAAGGTGTTGGGGACAAGTGAGGCATTGCTGCTTCTTCCTGACCAGCGGGCACCGAACTTGGGACCCTCATCAGCCGGTGACCGTGCCACTGAAAGTCCGAGGCCCCAACGAACGGTCACCTCGTCCCCTGGAGGGACCTGGACATCGGAATGCCCTGGGCTTATGCTCTTTTCTAGTTGTCATTCTGTAAGCCAAACTAGAAAAATTAGTGACAGGTTTCAACACCCTAATTCTGACATTTAAATAAATCTAATGTAAGCTTCTAAAATAACGTGGAATCTGGAGATAAAGCTGTGTTGTGAGGGATGTGAGTCTGGGGGGGGCGGGGTGTAGGTTGAAGGATTTGGCGGGATCCCTTGGCTTCCACTAACTCTGAGTCAATCATATAAAGTCGGACCCACAGGTGACCTTCCCCCAGACTCAGGGAGCAGGGCTGGGCTCGAGAGGCCAGAGGCTGGGAGCAGCCAATCACCAGAACCCCAATCAGCCCAGCACAGCCTCAGGCGCTCAGACCTTGCCCGCAGGCGTGGCTGCTAGAAGGTCTGTGGACGCCCAGCTCTGCCCTGGGGCCTGTCTCGGCCAGAACGGCCAGAACGTGTGGACAGTTCACCTGGCCTCCTGTGCCCTGCCGGGGGCGGGGGGCTCCCGCATGGGTGTCCAGGATGACTCCAGGGTCCCCCGGAGCCTTGGGGGGGGGGGGGCGTGGAGGGACCACTCAAACCAGAAACAGGACTGGGAGCCGAGGGCCTGTTTGACAGCGGTTAAGGTGGGGGACATTCAGAAGAAAACTTGGAGCCGCTGCTATGAGGCCTTCTGAGCCCCGGGGAGGTTTGGGCCACAGATTCCTGGCAGACAGCAGGGCTCGCAAGGCCCAGGGCTCCCCTCCCCTGGCCCAGGGTCAAAGCTTCGGGCCGGACAAGGAGTCAGCCCCTCCTTCCGAGAGCCCTGGGCCGGGCGGGAAGGGAGAGGACCTTCCGCAGGGGCAGTCCGAGCGCTGAGGGCCGGGCCTGCTCAGGGTCCAGGCGGGCTCCAGACTCACCAGAGCTGCAGCTTCACCCGCCGCCCGTCCAGAAGGATGGTGGTGGTCTTGTAGTCGATGCCTGTGGAAGAGGGTGGGCGGCTTCAGTGGGAGCTGGCTGCAGTGTCCCCACAGTTATCCTCCCCCACAGGGCGTGGGGGCCTCACTCTCCCGCTGGGGAGACAGGACTCTCACCCTCTCTCCATGCAGACGCACAGTATACAGGCTGGGGGGCTGGACCCTGCTTGTGGGTCTCCCCGGATGGCTCGGCCCTCTCCCCCGCACCCCCCCCCCCCATCCGCGCCCCCTCCTCTCACCCAAGGGGCTAAAAGACTGAGACGGTTTCCTTCAAATTATCACACTGAGGATGTAAAGTACAACGATGGAGAATGTGAAATCAGATAGGAAACACTATCGCAGCTCTGCAAGCACAGACGTGTGTGTGTGTGTGTGTGTGTGTGTGTGTGTGTGTGTGCATGGAAGTCTCTGGGTTGCAGAATTTGGATAGTTTTTACTTAAAAAAGAAACTTTCTCTGTTTTCAAGAGCATGTTTTCTTCAATGAGCATGTATTTCTTCTAAGATCAGAAGAAAAACCCCCACAATAATCATTTCCGAGAAGGAGAACTGTTCCTCCCCATTCAGCCAGAAGCCAGGTTCCTGCTCATTGAGAACCTCCCGTGTGCACAGAGGAGTCTCCGCATCTGTGGATGAGAACGCGCCCTGGTGGGCGACGAAGGGAGCAAGGAGAGCCTGTTCCCAGACAGGACCCAGCTGCTTAGCAAGCGCAGAGGCTTTGTGGTGCTGGCCTTGCCTCGCTGATGGGCTCAGCACCCGTCCCCAAAGCACTCGCACCCTGAGGGGCGGCTGTGAAGACTCTCCGGACAGACAGGATGTGATCCCACTTTGAATGTTTGCGCAAATAAAGCTGCTGTGTTAGAATTAGACCTCTGGGGGTGAGTGCTGAAGGGAGGCAGCCAGAGAGGGAGAGAGAGGGCCTGGCCCTGGAGGGATCCTGCCGTGGGTGAACGGCTCCTCCAAATTGCAATAGGAAAGACGGGGTCATTTTCAAGGGCTTAACCTGTGCTTCCTGGAAAGATCTAGAATGTTAGACTATCCCCGCCCCCCCCCCCCCCCACCCACACCCAAAGAGCTATGAGAAAAAGAATGTCCAGTTCTTCAAGTCTCCTGTCTTTTCGGTTGTTGTTAATCCTCACCCTAGGATATTTATCCACTGATTTTAGAGTGGAAGGTGGTGGGGGAGGGAGAGGGGAGGAGAGAGAAACACACGATTGGTTACCTTCCCAGGTATGTGCCCTTGACCTGGAAGCCACCCTCCAGTGTACGGGTGATGCTCAACCACTGAGTCACACCAGCCAGGGCTAACGTCTCCTGTCTGTAAAGCAGGTTGAGGGTAAGACGACGTGCCTTGTGGGGGTGACAGCAGGTTCAACTCCCCATTCCAGGGCGCGGCACCCAGTTTGCTGGGACTGAGCATAGATTTTGCAGAAAGTTTAGCTCAGTAGCTTCAGACTCTGCGAAATTACTCTGGAGCAACTGACTACCAAGGCCTTCCCCCCAGCCCCGGGGCATGCTAGTGAGAGATGCACACACACACACACACACACACACACGCACGCACGCACGCACACCCTAAATAGAATATATGACTGCATAGAACACGTAAATAGGATCTATATATACATATGTCGTGAATAGAACCTTAATTTCATATTTAGCCCATTAACTTTGAAGTCGCTAGAAAACATATTTTGAGAAACGTTCCGCTTCCCTTCGGAATGCTGGGGATTTCCCCATCGACAGGAAGCACTGGATGCACTTGGGAATCTGCTTTTGAGTCTGGAGGTAACATGGGCTGTGGGGTTCCTGCATCCCGACAGGCAGAGGGGACCCTCACCCTCCAGGGCCTGCAGAGATGGTTCATTTTTTAAATTTTTGCTTTGGTTCTTTTTCGTGGTGGCTCCTTTTTGTCTTGCACATCTTTGATTTAGAAAGTGCCCTCGTGTACTTGCTTTTTTAGGTCCCAAAAGTTTTTTTAAAAACTTTTTGTAAATATAAAAATTCATTGCTGGTGTTCTTTTGGGCACCTCTGCGTTTCTAAAACTATGTTTGGTTTTTCTTTTCATCAGAGTCGTGGATACACAGGGCCTCCAGCATCAACTGGTTCTGGGATTTAGTATGGGAGACGGCAGGCCCCAAGCCCCGCCCCCCCTGTCTGCACCCACCTGTGTGCCCCCCATTCTAAGCTCTGTGTCTCCAAATCTGTAAACAACATGCTTATATTCCAACTTCCTGACTTTCCGTTTTAGACATTAACTGACTGCCCACCCTGAAGGGGAAAATGTGTTCACTTTCCTGACACACCACCTGCCTTCACTCTAACTCTCTGTCTCTCTGCCTCTCTCACGCTCACACTCAGTATAATTATGTTGCAACTTCAGCCAGATCAATATTCGATTTTACATCAATATGACCAAGTAAACGCTACGCACAGCTGAACCATGTGGGATATTGTGTTTTCATTTTCCTTCATGTCCAAACCTTTGTTTTCACGGGAGTTAAAAACAGCCTGTTTATTTGCTCAGTTTTCTCTGCGTTTACCTCTAAGCCTCCTCTCAGCACTCCCAGCCTTCCTGGCATCTCGGCAGAGCGTCTGTCCTGCTGTCTGTCCTGCTTCCCCTGCACTGGGAGCAGCTGTCCTGGCCCTCCCTTCTCTCCTGGATCCCGTGTCTCCCCTCTTGGCTTATGCCTTCTGTGGTTTCCCTGAGAAGGGTGCGTAGAAGGTAGCTTTTGAGTCTTTGGATGTCTGAGGTGTCTTCAGTCTACCCAGGCATGCGCCCTTGATCTCAAATCAAACCCTCAACCCTCTGTGCATGGGACGACGCTATAACCCCTAAGCGACAGCGGCCGGCAGGACCTGGCATTTTTGAAAGGCGTCACGTCAGTGTCAGGATCAGAAAATATAACTCACATCTGCGGTCCTCAACTCATTCACCAAGAACTCTGTCCATCAGAAATGAAATAAAAATACACGAAAGCTTCCAGAACAAAGCCTGTCAGAATGTTTGAGTGAGTCAGAATAAGAGACAAGAAGAGAGATAATTTTAGCCTTCTTTAAAAAAAATAAAATAAAAAAAGGAAACCCCAAATGCCCAGCCGGTCGATACGCTTTTAGCTCCGCAGGAAGAATAAATAATTCAGGCATCTATTTCCATTCCTCCACCACCTGCTCGCTTCTATTTTAGCGAGGCAGCAGCCACAGGGCACCACACCGAAGAGGGTTTGATTACGGTGTAAATGTGGGTTAAATGCCATTTACGAACATATTGTCTTTGAGAACCTAACTTTTGATTAATGTATCTTTTTTACTTAAATGTTTCAACTGATTTGAGAGAGAGAGAGAGAGAGAGAGAGAGAGAGAGAGAGAGAGAGAGAAACATAGATGAGAGAATCATCGACAGGCTGCCTCTTCCACGCTCCCTGACCAGGAATGGAGCTGGTGACCTCTCCGGACATGGGCCGACGGTCAACCACTGAGCACATGGGCCAGGCTGAGGAACGTATCTTATGCTGAACTGAAATATCAGATGCAAGACGGGCGGTTCCCAGGGATGGGATGAGGGTAATGTTCTGGAATTAGAGAGTGGGGATTCATCGAGACTGAATGCACTAACTGCCACTGACGATTCAAAAATGGTTCTTTTTCTATCATGTAAATTTGACCTAAAAAATATACATGTACATATGTCCTGCCCAGAAACGGACTCTGCCTGGCTTTTGGGATGGGAAGGGCAACAGATGGAGGGGCTGGAGGAGGGGGGAAGGGCTGGAGGAAGGGGCCCGGGATAGGCTGGGAGCTTCAGCTCAGCCCAGCGCCCGTCCCTCGGGGGACTGGACAGGACAGGGATTTGACGCGTCCATCGTCCATCGTATGGGAACCCACTCCTGGAGCAGCTACCCTGCTCTGTGCAGACGCTGCCGTCTCCTTTCTGAAAAGGAGCGTGTGTTCCCTGCTTGTTTCTCCGTCTGGTTTTTCTCATCGGTGCCTCCCTCTCCTCATGACCTGGCTGCATTTATGACTCTACCTCTGTAAACTAGCTCTTGCTTTTATTTTTAATCAAACAAAATGCCAGTCCTGTCACGAGTCACCATATGATTCAAATTCATGAGCAGACTCGGCTGAGTCACGTCTGGGGGAGGGGGATCCATTAATTATTAGCTGCGAGAGGCTGGAGCCCAGAGTGGCCTGAGCTCACTGTCGGCGCGAGGAGCCGTGCGTCAGGCCTGTGCGGTTCTCCGCCAGCAGCTATGGGACTTCTCCCAAGAGATGACCCTTCGCAGTGGTTTCAGGCCGGAAACCAGGGCATCCATGGAAAGATCTAGAACCCAGGCACAGAGTCTCAGGGCCGGGACTGCTGGGCAGTGATGCAGCCCCTGAGCCTCGGCACAGCGCAGCCGCCCCCAAGACCGGGGCCCCTGACCGGCTCCCTCCCGTCAGGTTCCAGAAGCGGGTCAGCCTCTCACTCCCACCCGCGGAGTCTCAGAACACGAGTCACGTAAGTCCCCCGTCACAAAGGCCCCACGTCTGCAGGGCTGCCAGACCCCAACGGGACCTGGATACTGGACTCTAAGCTGTGAGGTACGTTCAAGACAGATCAAGGCCTGGAACCAAGTCCACGTAAGGAAACTCACGCTGCAAGGCCCAGTTCTCAGACACGTCATGATCATGATCACAGTTTGTGAAAGGAAAGCACGGTGTCACACAAACAATGCCGTCTGAAGGACCACGGAAGCAGCTGCATGTTCTGTGCAGATCAACAGAACTAAAAATGACAAATCAACCTGCTTCTTCTGTGACAAACCCGTCAAAAAGCTCTTGCCTTTAATCAAAGAATAAAAACAGCCGTAACCGGTTTGGCTCAGTGGATAGAGCGTCGGCCTGCGGACAGAAAGGTCCCGGGTTCGATTCCGGTCAAGGGCATGTACCTTGGTTACGGGCACATCTCCAGTAGGGAGTGTGCAGGAGGCAGCTGATCGATGTTTCTCTCTCATCGATGTTTCTA